CAAATACACATCCGACAGGGGGTTGATATCAAGGATATACAAGATACTGGTTGAACTCCACAAGAAGAAATCACCCAACCCCATCAAAAAATGGGGTGAGGAAATGAACAGAAACTTTCGCAAAGAAGAAATCCAAATGGCAAAAAGGCACATGAAAAAATGCTCTACATCACTAATCATCAGAGAGATGCAGATCAAAACAACAATGAGATATCATTTCACACCACAGAGACTGGCCCACATCCACAAGAACAAAGGCAACTGGTGCTGGCGCGGATGTGGCGAGAAAGGGACCCTGCTTCACACTGCTGGTGGGAATGCCGGCTAGTCCAACCCTTTTGGAAAACAGTATGGACGATTCTCAAAAAATTAGAATTTGACCTCCCATTTGACCCAGCTATAGCACTCCGGGGAATATATCCCAGAGAGGCAAAAAGGTATAGTCGAAGTGACATCTGCGATTGTTTGTTCATTGTAGCACTCTTTACAATAGCCAGAATCTAGAAAAAAACCTGAGTGCCCGAAAATAGATGACTGGTTAAAGAAACTTTGGTACATTTACACAATGGAGTACTATGTAGCTGTTAGAAAAGATGGAGTTATGAAATTTACATACAAGTGGTACTACATGGAAAGTATCATGTTAAGCGAAATGAGTCAGAAAGAGCGGGATAGACACAGAAAGATTGCATTCATCTGGGGAACATAAAGCAACAAAAAGGGAGACTAACACCCAGGAATGGCTGAGATTAGTACCAGGAATTTTGCTCCATGACTTGAAGACCAGCCACACGTGCTAGGTGAAAAGGAAGCTCAGATAGAGAAGAGAGCACCAAATAAAGGGTGTTGTGAGGACCCTCCCAGGGTGGGAGAAGCATGCTAAAAGTAGTCTATAGACCAAACATGATTGCCACTCAATGCCTCTCTTGCAAAACACAGTACCCAAAAGAAGAGAGAGAGAACAAGGAGGAATGCCCTGCCACAGAGGCAGGGTGGGACGGGTGGGGGGGATGCTGGGACCCTTGGTGGTGGAGGATGGGCACTGGTGGAGGGATGGGTACTTGATCATTGTATAACTGAAACCCAAGCACAAAAATTTATAAGTCTATAACTGTACCTCATGGTGTTTCACTAATAAAAAATTTAAAAAATATATATTCAAGGAGATAAGTGTTACACGAGGACATTAAAATGCCCTCTAATATTGTAATTCACTCAACAAACAAGTTTACAGATTTCTTTGATAAGAAGAATAATTCTGTTTTAAACTATTTCTCCCAATTTGCATTCTGTTTAGTCATATATCTGAAACGTAACTGGTCTATTCTGAATGGTGAAAGTTACTCTATTTTCATGGTGCTTCAAAAATAAAGTAATCAAGGAGAAATGTTCAAAAAAAGAAATATGTCCAAAACCATTTTTTCCACTCTGGAAGTTACTCACTCCATAAACCTTCCCTAATAATCTCTTTCCTCAAAAGATCAGTCTTTTCTTCTTTAAAGACCTATCTCTCCTCTTTACCACTTTTATAATTGTCTGCTACCATTCTAAAGAGTGATCTCTTTGAATGAACATGTAATAGTTTTCATATTTTCTTCACTGCCATATTCCAAGGGTGTGACACAATGGTCACTCATTTTTATTGTGTGAATAACTAACTCTTGGAAATAAGAAAATGTGTTTTACTAGCTCTTTAGATAATGGTGTGCGTTTATTTTGACTGATCCATTAAACAGTCCAATAGCGCACACAACAAGAGACAATCTTGAGTCTCCATGAGAATAAAGGACGCATGTCTCCAAATCCATTGCCTCTCTTTTTTAATTATCATCCTGTTGACATTAATATAATTTTAGTTGAGTTTTAAAATACTCTATTAGCACAGATCAACCCATGCACATTTAAAAGCTAGTGATTTCTCAGAAATAAATAAGTGCCCTCGAAGGACACTAGAAAAATAGTTCTGCCCTCCTTAGGATGTTTTATAAATTTAAAGTTTAAATATCAAGTTACCATGTTTTCAATTTAGAGTTTTGGTTTTATAATGGATTAAACACATTTTTCCATTCTTTATTAACAACTGGCTCCTCAAATCAAACATTTGACATGATCATTAACTCAAAATGAATTTCAATGAAGGAAATTTATCTAATAGAGTATACTGAGTGATGAAGACAAGCCCTAGGTGAAAGTATTCTAGAATTTACAGATACAGAATGAAATTAGGAACTCAATAAAACTATCTTAGAGTTTTAAAGTAGAAAAAGACTTAGTAGGACCTAAAGGTAGAAGTGAATAAATGCATATAAGTCATCTAAAGGGTACATATGGAAAGCTGAATTGGTAGCTATGAATGTTGGATATGTGAGAAAAAGGAAGCATATACCTAGATTAAGAGAGATATAGTGGTTAAAAGTGAAAAGTGTTGTGGAGAGTAATTTAACAGTAAGAGTAATACGGACTTAATGCTCTAGGAGCTAGAAATATAATTTTTTGCAAAGGGATAAAGTATGAAAATAAATGACATGTTAAGAAGATATATTTAGTCTGTATCTGTTTCAACTATTTTTTATTTTATTTTGTTTGGGAACACATCTATGTATGCTCAGGGGTTGCTCCCAGTCTAGAGCTCAGTCTGGGGTCATTCCCAGGGATGCTTGGGGAACCTTGCCTGGATTGAAATCTAATTTGAGCTTCCTGTAGGTAAAGCATGCGCTCAAGTATATTCCAGGCAACTTTTTTCAAATTCAAAACAACCTAAAATATAACTAAAACAATATCTTGTCTTTCTATGGACTTACATTGGATGATAGCATGTTCTGAATATTTATATCTACTGTTCATTATTTGTTATATCCCAGAAAAATTATGAACCTTTTCTTTTTTAAGCTCAGGGAACTTTATTTATTTTGTTATAACAATGCCCTTAACAAACATAACATTATATGTTTCCCCACTATATAACATTACATGCATGATGAACCTTTATATATAAAATCTTATTTAATCAACAGGAAATAGCACGATCCTGTGATGTAGGTATAATATAATATCTATTTTAAAGATGAGAGATTAATTACATTGGTAAAAGTCAGGTAGGTCACAAACTGAAGAGCAAAAATTTGACCCTGACCCATTTGACTTAACTCTAGTTAGTATAGTAGTTGCCACATAGTTAATGTGCAATAAATACCTGTTGAATAAATGAGTGAACAAATATGTCAACCTCTTCTGTGGATGAACTTACCACTTGGCTTTAATGGCTTTATGATTCTTGATAACCTCACGTCTATCTTAAGAGTAAAAGATTTGAGTCACAAAGGGAAGAGTTTACACAGTAAAATCTCTGTTAATTGTGATTTGGAAGAAATAAGAATTTTCTCAGAAAGCATATAATATATATTGCACATACAAATAAATGTGTGCTTCTGTGTGTACAGAGAGTTTGGAGACCTCTGACATCTATGGTCACATGCTTATGCAGACCTACACAAGCAGCATACGTGCTTTGACTCTCATGCTTTCTTTTGTTTTCTTAACCCTCCTGAGAGGGTGTAAATAATAGAATGTCAGATATAGAAGGGACCTTAGCAATTACCTAATCAGATAGCCTCACATAAATGCAGAAATTGAGGCACTAGAAGGAAAGTAAATTGCAAAGGTCACACAAGGAATTAGAGAAGATTAGGAATCTCAGTTTCCTGACTCACAGGTTTGTTTTACGCTGAACTGTCACCATTTACCATCTCAATTTTATAGATGGGGTAACTAAAGCATCCTAAGAATGTTGATGGTCAAGCTCCTGCTACTTGTCCATTGAAGCAGGACTTGAAATCAGATCTCTCTTATTTTAAATATGAGGCTGAGTTTCATCCAAGTGCTTCTGTCTGGATGTCCTAAAGGAAAGAAAATCCCTTTATTCAAATAGTGTAGAAATGTCCAGAAGGAAGACCCCTTCCTATAAATAGTGGACTGAGGATAATTGACAGAAGGCTTTGTTTTCCTCACCAAATCTACAACATCTAGCACAAAGGAAGGCACTCAATATGTATTAGCTGAATATATGACATATTAAAGGCAGAAAGGAAAAGTAGGCTGGGTAATGGTTCCCCAATGGATGATGGATGGATAATCATTATTAGTGCTAAAAAAGTGGGAATGAATGTAGAAAAGATTCAGAGAAGCCCTTAAACAAAGAAAAGGCTCTGTCTCTCTACTGATTCAAACGGCAATCACTCAGTAATAGCTGAGTGGCTTCGTAGGACACGATTGACAGAGATATTTAAATAAGGCCTCCTTAAAATTGTTACTCTCTACCCCACCCCCATTCCCCTTTAAATTCTGTTTCAGTCATTACCCAGGGACCGGATACAGAGATTCCTATGGGGAGTTCTAATGGGTCGATTCAATTTCAACTGGATGACGCCACTTAGCCAAGCATTAAGAGCTACAGCTCCGGGAAAGCAAACGACACAGAGAGAGGGAGAGAAATTATAACAAGGAGCAATAAATCCTTCCCCTCCCATCCTCCCCTATAACCCATTCACAAGACCTACAGAAAGCATCTACATTCACAAAACAGCCAGCAAGCTGAGCTGAACACACTGCAATCTTATCCCCCTCTACAGCCCCTTCCCCCCTTTCTGCCGATTATAAACCAACACACCCTGAGCTATATAAATAATCAGACACTAGCTGTATCTATTGCTCTGTTGAGATACCCTGTGTCTACAACTGCAGTTTCTGCTGCTTTGGTTCATCTGTCAGATTGGAGAAGACAGAGGCGGAGGTGGAGGCGGAGGAAAAAGAAGAAGGGGGAGGAGGTGAAGGAGGAAAAAACGGGAGGAGGGAAGGGGGAGGGGAAGATGAGGGGAAGAAAAACGCTGGAGCAGGCGGTGGGGGGAAGGGGGAGGAGGAGGAGGAGAAGAGGGAGGAGAAAGAGGCGGAGGCGGTGGAGGGGGAGGAGAAATAGGGGAAGAAGGAGGAGAATGAAGAGGTGGAGGAGGAGAAAGAGGAGGAGGAGGAGGTGAACAACTTACCCTGCTGAGCTTTGGGGAATACGCGCATCAAGATTTAGATCTGCAGGTAAAATCTACACAAAATATCTGCCACTACAGGTCTGACTCTCCTCCCCCTACCACTGTTTTTTTTTCCCTTTCCGTTTTCTCTGCTGTGTCAGAAAGACCAAGACAGAACTATCTCTGTTTCTGGCCCCACTGCCAGTGAAGGAGTTTTCATTCAGACTTTCCGAGCAGAGGTAAAGAAACCTAAAGACTCCGGAGAAGAAGAGGTCCTTTGAGCCAGAAGGAGCATTAGTTCTGCTTTTCTCAGCATGGATCAACCCTTTCCTCAAGGTAAGCCATAAAGATTTTCTCTTAAAGACCTTAGAATTCTTTCTATGCTATGCAAAGATTGCCATTCATTTCAGCCATCCTATGCTGTGTGTGTGTGTGCGTGTGTGTATCTGCGTGTGTATATCTGCGTGTGTGTATGTGCGCACTTGGGCTTGTGTTGTGAGTGTGCGCGCGTGGGCGCACAGAAGCGCAAGCATGTGGGTAAAATAAAATGCATATCGTTTAAATATGATTTAAATGATTCCGTTTTTACAGAGAACAATCCATATTTGAAATTTAGAAATCAAAATAGAACTTCAAAATAACCCTTTGGTAACCAAATGTCAATTTTAATTATTTCTAGCCCATTGACCTTTCAATGCGTTTTGGTGCTTGCCTAAACCCCATATAACACAGCCTAATCGCCAAAGCTGAGGACGTAGAGAGAGCTGGTGCTGAGGCCAGTCTGGCTGCCCAGCAGGCATCCTGTCAGCGTGGGGCTAGTTTGCGATTGGTTCCCAAGTCTGGGCTGTGCATCGTTCAGATTTCATCACATCACCTTGCCCTGGGTAGAAATGGCGCAAGCTGACAAGGCATAACCCCCTACTTACATTGAGTCAGAGCAATGATTTAGAAATCTCTGGAAACATGCCGGGTGTGTGTGCATATGTCTCTGTGTGGCCTATGGACATTTTGTAAAAAGTGAGAACCGGTGATCAAATTTTGTTAGCAGTAGGAATTTGATAGGACTAGAGCCATGGTTTCTATTCCCCTCCACTCCTAATTGCATTTATAGCTGATCTCTGCCTGCTGCAGACCAACTTGGATGGATAGAAAACATATCTTTAACTCTGAAATGGAAAGCCTATATTGCAGTGGAAGCTGTTGCGTTTTATTTTATTTATTTATTTTTTTGGAATTAATACCTCCTTGTAATATAATGTGCTATCACATGAACTTAGCTATACCAGGTGTTAAATCATGTTACCAACAAGTCAGCTGCATACTCACCTACGTAAGGCAGAGGCTAGCAGTTCAGCCACAGGACTCATTAGTCTTGTTCCTAGTACTTCTAAGCAAACAGCTACAAAGACTCTATTGTAACATTTTATACCTTTTGCTCTTTTGTGTTGATTTTAGATTTCTCTAGCTGTGAAACAGTGTAGTGACCTGAGTAACTTGGATTTGGAGGCATTTTATTTAGAGTTGTGTAATGAGTAAAGCTAGAACCTAAAATGAAATGTTATTAATTCTGTGACTTTTGAGATAGACAAATGCTACCAACAATCCCAGAGTGAAAAAAAAATTTATAGGATTAGGGCAAAGGGCTTTAAAAAAAACCTTTATTTCCCTCTCATTCTGCAGATGAAGAAACTGAGTCTAGTAATGGAAGTCACTTGCCTCTGTCACGTGGTAAAGTAAAACTAAACTTAGGACTAGAAATTTTTTGTCTCTTTTAAAAGGATTGTAGGGTTAAAGAAAGATTCTCACTTCTTAAATGAACAACTGGCATTTCTTCAGAGTTACAAGTGTGTGTATTCATCTGATAACACAGATTTCCTTGTATTGGTCACCACTGAAACACATATCTTTAATAATGCAAGGTCTTAAAACTGCAAGACTCCCTGGTTTGAAATAAACTGCTGTGAGTCTTAATGAAACGGTGAAAGGAATGAATAGGACTAGGGTAGCAAAGTGACAAGTTAAGAGTTAAATGTGGCGAGAACCTGGCAGCTCAGGCAAGATGTATGCGGTAGGAGGGAGGCCCAGTCAGTGGCTGAGAGGTTAGTAATGTAAACTATATACAACTTGGTATTTGTAAGGGGGGAGTGCTTTGATAGAGATGCAAATGCTTTTGCACAGAGAGGGATTTTTAGAGAGCAGACTTTGGAACAGTAGAACTAAGAAAACATATAAAGCCATAGCAGAAATTCCCCCTGTGTTTGCTTTCAGTTATTCTGAGAATGAGTGTATATAACAGTAGAGCACAGAAAAAAAGCAACACACTCCAGAGCCATTACATAGTAAGGTACAAAACAGCATTGAACCCCAGGGAATGGGAGAAAACAGAAGCCAGGCTCTCTTTCTTCTCTTCCCCCCTCTTGTTTGAAATAAAAATTGAATCATATTGTATTAGAAAGGATTGGTCACAGAAATCAGAACTCTCTTTGTTTGTGAGTATAAAATGGTTTTAGATAGGAAATTTTAATTTTTTTCTCAACAAGGTAGATTTCAGGTTTCAGAGAGAACCACATTTTTCGTTCATGAACAAACATTAGCATTTCTTGAGCGGATTTAACGTTCTCATCCCTAAATTGGCAAAAGAAAAGAAATGTCTGTTTAGGTTGAACATGGCAAATTTTCAGGCTACAGAAAAACTGTTAAGAAAGCTCTGAGCACCTGGCCAGAGGGACTGAGATGGGAGTGGGTCTACAATGCATCATTCATTACTGCAGAGGCTCTACGTGACAGAAATCACCAGAACCCGTCTCTGTGCAGCCAAGACTTGTAATCACCTTGACTCCTATTTAATAATAGGTGATACCGATATTCTCTCTCTCAATCAAATGTGGAATTTAACAGCAGTGCCGTTTCTTTACTGTTGCTGCTCATAATGAATGGCCCTTTAATGGGTGGATTTCTGAATCATAAACATGCATGCAGTAGTAATTTTTCATCTAGTCGGTGGGCTGCAGCAGTTTTTCTTTCTCAGTTTTCCCCCTCCTAACTTCCCATACAGTATCTATTTCAGTTCATCCTGTTAGACAGATCGTATTCAGCGTGTCCAGAATGGCAAACAATTTATTGTCATTCAATCCTATTTTATCCTACTCGGCACCCCTGATTTTACCCAGGTCCTACTGCCCACCATATTGCAGAACTTCCACAGTCCACTTCAATAAAATATTTTATGGGAAGAAGCCTACTAAATTCATCCTGCCAAGTCCTTTACCCTGTACTTATAAGAAAGATAGTAGTAGCTTTTTATCATCCCATACAGTTAGAAAACCAGAGTTTCCTTTAATCATCCAAGCAAATACTCCAACTCCTCAATTCTGCAGAAACCAATATGCAAATAGAGTTTCTTCACCTAAAAACCATATGCCCTTCTGCTGTCCAGAGGGTAACCCCTTTGAACATGATTCTGAGTCACTTATAATGACCTAGATTCCTCCAAGCTTAGCTTTCAACCTTCTGTGCCTGTCCTGAGATATACAGTGATAGCCCTGGAATCCCACATATTTATCTGCTATAAATTTGAGATCTTTTAAGCTTTCCTTCTAGTCACTTATTCTTGAACTTTCCAATACTTCAAATCTAGTTCCCTTTAGCCTAAAATGCATCCAGTATTCATGTTATTGTTCTTACAATAAAAAGAACTTGAAAGACCTCACACTTTCTCCTTCTGATCATCAATCATCATTAAATCCGTTTCTCATAAATTTCTCAAGACTTTCATATCTAAAGCTCCTGCATCTCCTTACTATGGATGTCATCTGAATAATGTGTCGTTGGTTATACAAATAAAAACTACCTGCCCATTACCTGATAAGACTATAAATATTAATAAAGATATAGCAGTGGTATGGGTATGAGTTCAAGGGGATTGTGAATCTAAGTAAATGAAAGAGACATGTACATTTTGGTCTTAAACACCCAAATAAAAAGAGCATGTTACCCATTTTTCCCTCAAAAATTGAAGATGTAGGTGTGGATACAGATAATTTCTAGGTTAATTTATGTAGATATATAATTGTAGATAATGTGGAGCAGAGTGTCTCAGAATCACTTAGTCACCCCTATAGTCAATATAGACAGTGAAACTGAGGCCCAAGGAAAGCAAATTATTTGAAAAAGTTCATATAGATATTTGAGTTCTAGAATCTTCAATGTTTAAATGTATTTTGAGCTACTGTTTTAAATAAATAACACATATCAGCTAGCCCAAAAGTGAAATGATAGTTGCACTAGTTCTTTTATATGAAATGGCAAAAATTATTTTTAACAAATTAAATTTGCAAAAACACCAGAAAAATGCACATTAAAAATAGCAGGTTTGCATGTGGATGTAGCCTTGAAGGCAATGAATCTGGTCATATTATTATCCACTTGTTTCATAAATTGCTTCCTGATTATTCTAGTTATTGAGCTTTGGGTACATTTCATTGTTGTATTTGCTTGCTTATTGAAACCTAATCAAGCAGTATCGTCTCTCTCTTGTTCATTTCTATTACTCATTCAAGCTTTCCATCTCATACAGTGGTGTGAGTAATCGATCTATTTTGAGGAGACTGAAATCTGATGTATTTCAAATATATGCTTTATTCATGCTAACGCTTCCTTAGCCCTAATGCCAGAATGACTTTTGTATTTCAACTTAGGTTCCTAGTTTGCATCTTTCTGATTTTTTGGTATTCCAAGTATCATAGTAATCTGCTGCATCTAAAATATTTTCCTCGTGACCACTATTATCAGTACTAGGGTTGATCTAACCAGGAAATGACCATTCAACTCTTCCTGACTGTGGTATACAATTATATGCTATTTAGATACTCATTTTGTCTTAAATCTGGTATAAAAATATTCCTGCTCTTAAGATAAACAATTTATTGTATAATGTAAAGATAGGAAAAATACTCTAAGCAGATTATGTCCAATAAATCCCATCAGTATAGACTCTACTTTGGGTGGCAATAAATGCAGTTACAGAGGATATTTGACATAATTGAGGCTTTATCTCTTATGGGTCACCCAGCCCCAGCATTACTCCCACATACACAACAGTTTGATTCTGGAGCCACATTGCTATTTAGAAAGACTTACCCTCTCAATAAATTAAAACAGCCTGTAACATAAGAAGTGCAAGATGATAGTTTTGGCTTCCTCACACACTTGAGAGTCCTTTTTCAAAAATTATTCTACAGATAACCCAATTTCTACCCTTTGTGTCTCTGCCATTGCTGCATCTTGCTTACTTGCTTATATTCATTGAATAAAGCAATGTCTTTTGTCATCAGTTGTTATCACAAATGCCACCGAAAGGAAACTTTTGGTTAATGCTGTATACAACCTCTAACAGAAGACTTTTGAGTCTTTCTCTGATACATCAACATTGCTTCGGAAAATGACCTGTGCATTTGAAATTAGATTCCTTTTTAATTAGAATTCTAGAAAGGCCTAGATTTCACTATTAGCAAACATTTGAATGAGCTAACTGCTCCAGTGACCCTAGTCATGTGATAGAATACAAAAGGAATCAATGATCTGATCTTTGCTCCCGGACTGATTTACAGACTGAATGGAATGACTGAACTTGCCTGTCAAGAAGTCAGTGAGGTCAAGTAGAGAATAAGGGTGGAACGTAGATACGACTACATAAAGTAGATTGAAAGTATCAGTGGTCATAGGCTCCAAGCTTTGTTGGTTCCTCACAAAGTACTCAAGCCTGTGTTTTTTTTTTTCATTTATTGTGTCTGTTCTTTCTCTTATAGAATTTTCTGATGTGCCCTAAGGTCCATTCAACTACAAGGGCTCTTGACCACCGTAAGTGCCACCCTGACCCAAAACCACTCAGATATCAAGAATCAAGGCAAAATGGATGCTGCAGTGACCGAAGATTTTCAACAAATTCTGCCTATTGAACAGCTGCGCTCTACTCATGCTAGCAATGATTATGTGGAGCGGCCTCCAGCCCCCTGTAAACAGGCCGTCTCCAGCCCGTCCCTTATTGTGCAAACCCACAAATCTGATTGGTCTCTGGCTACCATGCCTACTGCTCTCCCCCGCAGTCTCAGCCAGTGCCATCAATTGCAGCCCTTGCCTCAGCATCTGAGCCAGTCTAGCATTGCCAGCTCAATGTCCCATAGCACCACTGCCTCTGATCAAAGGCTCTTGGCCAGCATTACGCCCTCATCTTCAGGCCAGTCCATCATCAGAACCCAGCCTGGAGCAGGGGCCCACCCAAAGGCTGATGGTGCTCTGAAGGGAGAAGCTGAGCAATCTGCAGTGCACCCTAATGAGCACCTCTTCATCTGCGAGGAATGTGGGCGCTGTAAATGTGTCCTCTGCACAGCAGCTCGCCCTCTCCCCTCCTGCTGGCTGTGCAACCAGCGTTGCCTTTGCTCTGCTGAGAGCCTCCTCGATTATGGCACCTGTCTCTGCTGCGTTAAGGGCCTCTTCTACCACTGCTCCACTGATGATGAAGACAACTGCGCTGATGAGCCCTGCTCCTGTGGGCCTAGCTCTTGCTTCGTCCGCTGGGCAGCCATGAGCCTCATCTCCCTCTTCCTACCCTGCCTGTGCTGCTACCTGCCTACCCGTGGATGCCTCCATCTGTGCCAGCGGGGCTACGACAGCCTCAGGCGCCCAGGCTGCCGCTGTAAGAGGCACACCAACACTGTGTGCAGAAAAATCTCTTCTGGCAGTGCGCCTTTCCCCAAGGCCCAGGAAAAGTCTGTATGACCTTCCCATGAAATGGATCCAGAGCTTTCTCCTTCTAGCCCCCATCAGTAAGCTTCACCTTTGAAAGGGGGAGTATAGAGAAGGAGTAAAGTAGCCAAAGTTAGGGTTTCACCAATTTTGTTCCTGCAGTATCAAGGGAATGGCTGAGTACATCCTAGTGGGAGATGCCTTGTTCTTTTTCACAGTATCTAGCCCACTCCCCTGTAACCTTTTTTCCTCCCTGCCACCTCAGCCCTCATGACTGTCAAGGCAAATTCAGGTGATACTTAGGCATGAGATTTGGACACTGAGGACTGACAGAGCCAGCAACGTGGAGGTTTAGGGGCTCCCCAGTGAAATGCCTCTCGATGCAGGCTCTGAGAGTCACTCTGCTTTCCACAGTGCCTTTGGAAGCTTTCTTCTAAGATGGTTTTCATTGGTTCACGTGGAAGAACATTCGCTATTGCAGGGAATTTGACCCCTTATCCCTGTTATCTACCCTTCTTTTCCTGAGTCTTCTCTTTCCCTCTTTCCTCTTTGTTCTTTGCTTGATTTTGTAATGCTTGCCCTTGAATCCTCACCCTATTTCTACTTTTACTGTGTTTTCTTTCGTTTTATCTTCCCACTTACTTCTTCTCACTTCCTCTCCTGAACAAATCCTTTGCCTGTATTTCTATCGTGTTTGATCAAGCTTTGTTTCTCTTCTTGTCCCTGTTTCTATAAGATGTCCAAAAGTGCTGTTTTTCCATAGGTGTCGCCTTTAACACAAAACTTTGCTATGCTCTATACTATTTACCAATTTTATTAAGGGAAGTGGAATACTGAAATGAACTGATCACTAGCAATAGTCTGTATCCTGATGTGTGTGTGCACTCAGAACCACACTTACTCGTTTGTGAGTGTATGAGGCAAAGTTATCTTATATTTCCAGGTTGAATTAGTTGGAGTTTTACTCATTTTCCCAGTAATCTACATAGTACTGGCAGGTTCCACTAGCATGCTGAGTAGGATAGTAACTTTGTATGTCTGACCCAAGTGCCAAAGGCAGACGTGCTTTATAGCTAAATGAACAAAGCAAAGGATATTACAGAGGTCTGTTCACTCTTAGAAGCTAACTGCCCTGAGACTGCATGGCTCAGGCCTTAATAATGGATGTAAAAGTCATAAAACTTTAGAGCTGGAAGGAATCCTGACTGTTAATCTAGTTCAATGTCCTTATTTTAACAGATGGGAAAACTGAGGCCTGGAGATAGGAAAGGATTTGCCCAAGGCCACACACTGAGTTAATAGCAGAGTTGGGACTGGAATACAGGTCTTCTGATTCCTGTTTCAGTATTTACCCTGCACCACATTAAGTTATGGGACTTTTTTCCTAGGACTCTATTAGCAGTGAAAGAAAGCCATTCCTGTTCAATTTCTCTTCAGGAACCATGCCAAGTTAGTGTGGTGGTCTTTATACTGTGCATGGTGGGTAGCTAATTAACTATCAGATGTTGAGGCTGCCCCCACCCCCGTGGATATCACCTTTGGCTCTGTCACCTTGTAGAAGCTCAAGTATGGAAAAGAAACGCTTAAGGAAGCCCTAACCAAGCTGTATCTTCGCCATTGCACCTACTCTTTGCTGCATATACACTGTGCTTGCTACTGGCTTTGTCTACAGTGGCAGTTGCCTAAGAACCTAAATTTCAACAACAGTGAAAAACTGAGATCAAAGATGTATAATGCAAAGAACTGACTTTTCTTTTAAAAATATAAATAAACACCAAGAGCCTGGGCTGTGAATCTCCTCCAATGGAAAAGGCTACAGTGGTAAAGGCAGGCTCCTAAAGACTGCTGCTAAAAGACACAAGAATTAGATCCAGTTCCTCTCTGTAAGTGGATCCTACATTCACTTAAGGGATCCAGAGATTGAAAGCACTTGCTTGGAATCAAAGTGCTCTGACTTAGTTTCAGACTTCCAGACTCGAACTCTATGTATCATCTCTTAAAAGTGTGCATGGATGTATATTGCAGGGTGGAGAGGGGGGGAGAAATATAGTCACACCCAGGGGGAGGAAGAAGGTACACCCATGTCCTTTTGTTGGATATATACTATAGAAATATGTGCCACTCAGTCTTTGTTGGTTCTGAATCTTCCTGCAGTGTATTGACATTTGGGCTGCACACAGCCCCACAACTTCACCTACACCTCCTCTTCTAGAGTTGCTTTGCTCTATTTTTGTATATATAAATATGTTATGATGATTATTCATAATGTTAATTATATTGCTGCAAATGGTGCCATATATAAGGTTTGGCTTCTTGGAACATTTATAAACCCAGACCAATACCTGTAACCTCTTATGTTGCTTTCAGATCCTTCCATTTTAAGTAACTTTTCTTTGAATCTCGCAAGTTTGCCTGATTGAACTTTGAACTTACCTATCCCTAAAAGCTGCACCCAGTTCTCTGGACCAAGCTGGATGGTGATGAGTAGCAACACACACTTCTCCCTGCTTCTGCCTGAAATTTGCTTATAGCTGACTTATATAGAGATTTTATGACACTAGTGCATTGAAGCTAAAGTTATTCTATAGATGTTTGCTTATTAGTTTCAGGACCCAAAATAACAGTTTCCTCCTCCTTGCTATCTCCTTGATATCCCAATCCTGCAGTCCTTACTCAGGCAAATTGTACACTGCCAGAAGGGCCCTGGGCTCTGCCATATACCCAGAGAAGCTCTTCTCAGTGTATTTCTAAATGGCCTTACACTTGGTAGAAGAAACTGAAGGGTTACTCAACTGCAGTTGCAATCTGCAATCTGCTGCTGAGTCAGAGCTTTCACTTGTGTTCAAGTTGGCCTGATATGGACTGCATCTGGTTTACGTATAGATGGGTCCTGTTGGGGTATGCGCACCAATGTGTCAGTGTGTGTGCATATGTATCCCTTCTGTGAGGTATACATATATATGTATATCCAGATACATATATATGTATACATATATGTATGTAAATATATATTCACACATCTCTATATATTTTAATGTATTGCACATGTATATTTAAAATATATACGAAAGAACTCTAAATCCTGCAGAGAGGCTCTGTTTTCATTATTTTTCTACTTTGTGTTACGTACTATATAAACAGAAATATTTAGAGGGTGTTTCCTGCTTAGCATTTTTTGGTAGTTAAGTCATCGGTTACCCCCTAACTCTTCTGCTTTTTACATATTGGTCCCTTGATAGATTTCATATGACTTTAGCCAAGAGTTTTCCTGTGGTTCCAGCCCATCTTCCGTCACCACTGTAGCTATAATGAATATAGCAAACATTTAGGTAATGCTTACTATGTGCTGTTTTAAATGTGTTACCTATTCTCATTTAATCCTCATAATAATTCTACAATGTAGGTATTAATATGATTACAATTTTACAAATGAAAAAAACTAAATTACAGAGAGTTTTAGTGACTCTATAAATGTAATAAAGCATGTAAATGGTGAAGCTAAAATTTCGACTGAGACAACTGACTTCCAAGTCTATGCTCCAGAGTCAGGTACAGAAGTCTGAAGCATAACACAAACCTTTCTGGAATAACAATTCTCAAAGAGTGACTAGTCCTTTCCCTAACCCCAACACACCTGCATCATGAGTTGGAACAATATGTTCCTATGGCAAGACTTAATCAATTATTACAGACATCATATATTGTATTATTTACCAACTGGTGATAGTACAAATTTCTCACTGCTCTATTTGGAAGCATGTTTGCAACCAGTTGCTATTCTCAGTTGATGCAGAGTGAGTAATAGTTTTTACTTGAACTTCTCTTTATAGGTTCCTGGGGGTGGGGGGGGGCGCGTAAATTTATTTCTGCAGAAAGTAGAACTAAAACTAATTTGGAACTCAAAAGGGATTGGAGCGGGTACTGTTAACATTCAAGTCCATTGATCATATTGAGTGTATCATTCTGATTTAGACGTATGCAATCCCATGATGACCATTGCTGAGTGTAATATCTTACCTTTTGCCATCATAATCTTTACACTGGAAATCCTTTCCACTGACATTACTTCACAGATGGAACTTAAAGACTGTTCTAACATCAACAGTTTGTAATTAGAGAAAAAAGACACACAGAAAGGAAAATAGCTATCCAAGGCCACATAAGTCTGAGTTTGGATAAAATTATGGCTTAATTACAAACTTCCTAATTTCCAGATGCCTTTGAATTTCTTAGAAAGTATAGCTTGAAAAAATCTTGTGGCAACCCCAAGGAAGGAAAAGTAAGTGGGGGAAGCAGTGAGGAAGGAGAGAAAGAGAGAACACATTAAGAGTATCACTGTGTTGGCCACAATCTGTTTCATGACAAGCTGATTTCTCAATCTGTTATGACAGGCCATACTGCACTTCTATACAGCCCCTGTGGGGGAGTAAGGGAGCAGAATCCATCTCTTATCGCTCATCTCATTAGTCAAATACTTTCCCTGTTGGATGTTTATTCCCCTCTACTTCTGGATAGTGCATGTGTAGGTGCTCAAGCATGAACCTTGGCGTGTCATGCTTAGCAGCAATGGAATAGCAAGTGTGCAGCTATAAGGAGACAGAATAACTTAAAGACTTAAAGTGGTATACTAGGGTGGTACCTTCCCTTTACATCTTTAATCATATTCATTCAGCGTGAGTTAGAAATAGTCTACCATCTTTAAAGGACATAAGGCTTTATTGTGGTGCTCAGAAATGTACTAAATTTGCCTTCCAAAATCTATGTGTTCTATGAGTTGCTTTGAAGAGCTCTTTTCTACATGAAAATGAAGTCCCTGGTTCAAATAGAAGAGTTACATAACCTTAAAATGTCTTTCTTTAAGAAGAAACCTTATTTTAACAAATGCTTCAAAATGCATTTTTAAACCAATGCATGCTCATATAGTCATTTAGATACCATAAGCATAATAGAAATATATCTGGTCAGATTAATAAATTCAGAGGAAATTACTGAGAAACATTTATTTTGAAATATGAAAACAAAACATTCTGTTTACTGACTGGATTTTTTTCAGCTATCAATAGTGGTAATGTGTAGTACAAAACATACTAAGAATTGTACTATCTAATTAATTCTCTTACACAATAGTCCCCTGTGCCCTACGTATCATTCTTACATAAAATTAAAGCATAGGGTTGATAACAACATACTAAAGACAAGTTTCATGCCCCTAATTATCATTACAAAATCATTAAATTCATTACATTGATCTAATTCTTGATTTTTTTGTATAAGAAACATGAACATAAGGGAATTCTGAAAATAACTAAGGTGAATAATGATATAATGTATCTCTCAAACAATTTATTAAAATGTTTTTATTAGTTTTCTGCTTTAGTGAACTCAGTAGTTACTTCTTGGTTTTGTCATACATGAAACATCAGCAGAATTTGACATAATTATTATCCTGCTTCCCTACCCTAAAAACACTTTTACCACTTGGCTTTCAGGTTGCACACTGACATTTTTCCTCCTACTTTGTATTTATTGGATCCCCTCCTCTCTATCACCCTTTCTATGAAATTATCTTAGGGATTGGTACTTAGAAATTGTTCTTTTGATATCATGTACATGTTGACTTTCCAAATTATATAAACATAAAATACTTCCTTAAACTTAACACTTATTATTAAGTTGCATATTTCACATCTTTCCTCTGCCATTTTATAATGATTGCAAATATAACATGATCTAACAATGTTCCTGACCTTTTTCACCTCAACTCTAACCTTTACAACCTTTTTTATTTAATGTCAGTTCCAAACTTCTAGTTGCTCAGAAGAATGTATAAGCCATTCATTAAAATCCTTATTGGCTGTGAATGTATCCAAAATTCCCAACCTCTACATATTCAATTTTCTTTTCTTGTGGATTACACATAATCATTAGTACCCTTTTATGATATTTACCCTACATTTTGGTTAAGGTTGAAATTCTTGGTCTCTTTACACTAATCCAGGTCTATGTCCTTATCCTAACTGTATCATGAAAATATTATCATCTTTCTTCTTTCACAGGCCAGAGTGGACTAGATCCATAACCCTGAAGAAAAGACTCCTTGTGAATGATACTGCTAATTGTTTACGGGTCTTGCTAAGTACAATTAAAGATACCTGTGTTGCTCCCAAATGTATCTGATGGTCAGTCCCCTGGAAATTAAGCGAGGAATACTGACCCACAAGTGATAATTCCCCAACTACTCAGACACTCCTTTTAACTCTACCAGATAAAGATCATATCTCTGATAGTGAGAGACACATGGCAAGGATTAAAGAACTCCAAATTCTTAAAGAACTAACACTGCTACTGTAAGTTGCTAAAGAAAAAAAAACAGCTTATTTTTCAAGCAACTAGCCTAGTTTTACTAATATGAGTTTTAACCTCAGTTCACTAATATATTCTATTGTGAAAGTTAAGGTGGGCTGGAGAGATAGTACAGTGAGTAAGGTACCTGCCTTTCACACAGACAACCAGGGTTACATCCCCTGTGCTCCATATGGTCCCCAAGCCCCACCAGGAGTGATACCTGAGTGCAGAGCCAGAAGTAAGTCCCGAGCACCACTGAGTGTGGCAGAAAGAAAGAGAGAAAGAACAAAAGAAAGAGAATGAAAGAAAGGGGGAGAAAGAAAGAGGAAAAAAAGAGAGAAAGAAGGAAGGAAGCAAGGAAGGAAGGAAGGAAGAAAGAAAGAAAGAAAGAAAGAAAGAAAGAAAGAAAGAAAGAAAGAAAAAGAAAATGGTGAAGGGAGCCATACAAATGCATATATCCTGAGGTCTCATTTAGAACTTATATTCTAAGGGCTAAATGAAAGGGAGACAGAATGACATTTTTGTCCCTTTTCTCTTTGGCCTACAATTTAATTTTAGCCTTTGAAGTCTTACTACTCTGATGACAAAAATAAGTACTAAAAAGGAAATCTAAGTAACTTAATCTGTTATTTTTCGAAAGCATCTTTTTCCAATGAGAGTCAATGCTTCCCAAGAAGATGGCTCCAATCTTAATACATAAGCTATATTGAAAGAGATGGAGGTATTGGGAAATAATTGTAAATGTTGGTCCAGAAACAAAAACACAGGATAAGGAAAATAACAATGTAAAAGAAGAAAACTTTATAATAGTTCATTTCTTCCATTGAAAATTTTATTTCACTAATTCTTGGTTCACTTGTATCCTTGATAATCCTTTTGTTTTTCTCTCAAATGCCTCTGTTGAAATTATTCTTCATTCTTCATTTGTATTCATGAAGACAGGGAGAGAGAGAGAGAGAGAGAGAGAGAGAGAGAGAGAGAGAAAGAGAGAGAGAGAGAAAATGTGGGAATAATGTGGTTGAAGCTTTGAGTTCTACTCAGGAGGTTCAACATGAGAGTTTTTTTACTACTATTCTTAGCCTTTCAAATTCCCCTCTAAGAAATGCCCCATAATACTTGAATTTTATACTAAGTGGCAAGGTTTTTCTTCAGAGAGAAATACCAGACTTGATTTCCCTTGATTGGCTCCTGAGTCAATGAGGTGTTGTGGAAATCATGTACCCTGAGACCAATAAATCAGAATCTTTTGAAGTGAGGCTGAGAAAAATGATTTTTTAAATCCCAGATGATCATGATATACAAGCAAACTGAGAAAGCCCATCATCTCATTCTATAAATGCATATACCAAGGCACAGAGATAGGAAGCAACTTACTTATAACCATACAGTGAGACAGTGGGTTAGGGATAATAACTGCATGAAAATCCTTGTCTACTGACTCTGGCTAGAGTTTTTGTCTTTATGCAACAGTATTTTTCTCTCTATGCTGTGCCATCTCTGAACTTTTGCTTTCCTCCTGTGTAAAATGAAGGTCATAATGCCTAGAGATTTTGTGACAGTCATTAAAGCAGTCACTGTCCTCCCGTTGTTCATTGATTGCTCGAGCAGACCCAGTAACATCTCCATTGGAGACTTTGTTGTTACTGTGTTTGGCATATCGAATACATCACGGGTAGCTTGCCAGGCTCTGCTGTGCGGGCGAGATACTCTCGGTAGCTTGCCGGGCTCTCCAAGAGGGGCAG